CCGAAAGCCCTTCCGAGTCACGCATATACACAGAACAAACTTGAAACGCGTCCCCTTGGGGCGCATGCACTAGGGCCGTGATGGCCCTGTGGGGGGCCAGCTCGAGCCCCGAGGGCGCCCTATGAAGCCCAAGGTTGGCGCTACACAGGATAGAGACTCCCGCAGAAGGGCCGCCTTCGGGCCCAGTCGTGCCAGGGATCCAAAGCGATTTGAAACCGAGGCCAAGACAAACAGAGGAAGCTCTATCCAAAGCCTCCTGCGTCAAAAGCTTGTGTTCTTGAGCTAGAATAACTTCAGCACCGATGCTAGGCAGCCACTCCTTCACCGACCCCCAGGCGTTACCGTTTACCGACACGACCCTCAGACGGAACGACTGATGGCCCGGGGGTGGCGGGGGCAAAAAGGGACCTCCAAAAACGGTGCCAGGGTGCCCTGGCTCCGAGGGGGCAGCATCCCTAGCTCGCGCGTTGGGACTAGTATTTCGAGGCAAAACAGGAATAAGTTGGGCACGAGGAGGAGGGGTCCTGACAGCCTGCGTGCGCTGTCGACCTCCCTCCGAAAAGACTGAACTGGTACACCCGTCAGGTGTTGCAGGCATAGAAAAGTGGAATCCCCCCCCTTCAGGCCTGCTGACCGTCAGGGGGGCTAAGATTTTGCTGCTCACTGGGCCGCTCGCTTGAGCCGCTGCCCTCAGAAGTCGCCTGCTGCTGCTGAACTCGCTCCGCAACTCGTGCTGCATGTTCTCGAACTCGACTGACTGAGGCGGCTGGCTGGCTGACGTCGCTGGCCGCGGCGCCGCCGCTTCCTGAGGCACCACCAGGATGCGACTCAGCTTCTTCAGCGCCCCCTTCACGAACTCCGCCCCCAGCCGACACGGCTCCGTCGCAGCCCTTCCTGCGCTTTGTGGCCATGCGCTTGAGGTAACCGTCGTGCTCGGCCTTGGCGACTGCCGCACGCTCCATTGCTTCGGCGAATAGGGCCTTGGCTGCCTTGCCGATGTGCTCCTTGAAGTCGGCCCGTCGTCGCTCCACCTCTTGAAGATCCGAAGCCTCCATGCCCTCAGCGTCGACCGAGAAGAGGCCCCCGTCGTCGATGACGATGTTGGAGACCCTCCCGTCCACGAGGTCACGGAGTGACAGAGTGGGCCCAGACGCGACCTCTGCGTCGGCCGAGGGAGGAACAACTGCACTGTGAAGCTGTGCAACCAGTTGCCGATGTTCTGTGACCATGGCCCCGGACTGCTTCGAGAGGTCGTGAATGAGCACCTCTTGCGCCCTGATGCCGTCCTGCCACCTCGCAAGTTTCGCCAGCTCGGACTCCAGCCTGCCGTCGAGCTTCTTGATGCGGTGGTGCAGGTCGCTGACTTGGTCCTGCAGGGCCTTGGGCGGGGGCTTCGCGGCTGCCGCCATGGAGTCCAGCTGGCCTTGGTACCTGGCCGCGGTCGTCTGGTCTCCTGCGCGGCGCGCCAGGGCGACCAGCATCTGGAGCTCCTTTGCGTCCAGCGGGGCGTCCTGTCCACGGCCGCTGCTGCCCGTGCCCTGCGCCGCTCCTTCAAGCTGCGGTCCAGGCGGGAGGGCAGCCCACTCTCCTGGGGGGTGATACCCCGGAGCACGAGGAAGACCCTGCTGATGAGACCAAACGCCGCGAGGAGGAGCAGGCTGGCTGGTCGAAGGGGCTTGCCTCGGCGCACCGCAGTGCTTGCAGTGCGACGCCCAGACAGTGGTCTTGCCGCACCCGCATGCAACGCATTTCCAGCAGTCGCTCCTGCCAGACGCGCCGTATCCTTTGCCAGCCAGCCACTGGGCGCCTCCGTAGTCGTAGTTGTTCCAGTCCTGCCGCTGCCAGCCCTTTGAGCCGCCGCCGCGCCAAGGGGGAGAACCTCCTCCGCCGCCGCCGCCGCCCTTGTAAGGGCCATGGGACATCAGTCTGACTGGAATGATGGAAGTGAAAAGAAAGAAGCCAAAATTTGACCCGCGGATCCCTTGCCGTTCTGAAGAGAGGACCCGCAAGCGCTCACCTGCGCCAGAACGGCTGGAGGACGAGGAGGAGGAGGAGGACGCGGAGGAGGAGGAGGAAGACCAGGGTGAGTTGGGAGGCGAAGGGAGGAGGGAGGAGGAGGAGGAGGAGGAGGAGGAGGAGGAGGAGGAGGAGGAGGAGGAGGAGGAGGGTGAAAGGGGAGGATGCGGAGTTGGGAGGAGGAAGAGGGGGAGGGCGCAATAGGTCTTGATGGGGTATTGCCCTTTGCGGAGACAAGTTGGGTCTCGAGATCACGGCGGACGGACCTGGCACGCCGCACAGTCTGGGATCGACCGCGGCAATACCTGCTGCTGCCCTTCCTCCTTCTCCCACCACCTCCCTTCTACTTACTCCTTCTCGATTCGGCCATCCTCCGTCTCCCTCCTCCTCCCCCTCATTGTCCGCATCCTGCTTCCACCTCTTGGAATGCCGCAGATGCTGGAAACAACTACGCAGGCCGATGAAAGCTCTGAGTGGCATTCCGTACGAAGGGGGGGTGTCTTCTGCTTTCTGAGCCCCCCTTTGAGACTCACCTGCATCTCAACATGCTCCGTTCATCGCGTTGCTTGCCGGGAACTCGCGGACAGACAACGCACTCGTTTGACACCACATGGCTACAATGCACAAGACGCTTCCTGCCCGAAACACTAAGTGACGTCGGAAGACGTTAGCAATGCAGTCTTGGAAACATCCGACAAATCAGCGAAAGGGCCGCTAACGCGTCAAACCACAACGCTCGCTGCAATCGCAAACCAGAACCGTCTTTGCCGTTACAGGTAGGCGGAATCGGGGACATGACTGCAGGCCGTGCATCGGCGCAGTAGGGAAGCGTTCTGGGCACCTTTGCTGCCTGAGGCGCAGCTGCATTCAAACCGCCCTGGATCATGAACAGTCGACCTGCGATTCTGACAGAGCCTGTGGACACCCTCGGGGGGCACTGTCAACTGGCGTGAGGATAGGATGTTCTATCCCGAGTGTAATTTTCCCAAGGAGGGCAATCGTCTGACATCAAGTAACGCGCCATCGCTGGGACGCGGCTTTCGTGTGTTTTGTTGTCTCCGCGTGGACTGCGGGCGGCAATCGAACTCCACGACGCTCCACGACACGGCTTGAGTGGACTCATGCGGGGCGATGGGGACAATGAGGAGACGCGCCAAACAACAACACACCCACACACAGACACACAGACACACAAGACACACACACAGACACACAGACACTCACATTCGCACACAGACGCACACAGACTCACACAAACACACAGACACACAAGCGCACAAACCACACAGACACACACAGGCACACACAGACACACACAGACACACACACACACACATACAGACAGACACACACACACAGACACACCCACACACCCACACAAACGCACAAACACACAAACACACAAACGCAAAGGCGCACACACACAATCAAACGCACAACCACACAAACACACAAACACACACACCACACCACACCACACCACACCAACACTACACCACACCACACTGTACAACACAACACACACTAACATACACATACACAAACACACAAGCACACAAACACAGAAACACAGAAACACACAAACACACACGCACACGCACACACGCACAAACACACGCACACACACGCACACACTGTTTGCCATCCACAATGAAGCCAATATAACCCTGTGCCGATGATAAAAAAGGACCCCCCTTTCTAGGCTAGAGTTGATTATCCACGGCCAAGAAGTGTTTGGTCAGGGGCGCGGGGCGCGGAGGCCGAACTTTATTTTTATCACTGTGACAAGTTCACCATCGAGGTTAGCTTCCTTCTCATGTTGAGATGGCAACATCAAGCGAAGCGAAGACGTTTTCGAGGATGTCTCAAGCGAAACCAACAATTACATATTGGAGGCAGCCTCAAGCGAAACGATCAATTGTTCAAGGATGTCTCAAGCGGAACCAGCAATTCTTCAAGGATGTCTCAAGCGAGGCGAGAGACTTGTCGATGAGAGACTTCCTACTCCTCCTCCTCCTCCTCCTCCTCCTCCTCCTCTCTCGCTTTCTTTTCTTGTTTTCTCTCTCTCTCTCTCTCTTTGTCTCTGTCTCCCTCTCTCTGTCTTTCTCCTTCTCCCCCTGGCCCCCTGAACTTTTTTTATCGCTGTGGTTTACTATCCACGGAAACCGAGGCACATGAGGCAAATTTCCATTGTTTGCTTACAAATTAAATGTAATAGGTTTGGAACATTGACGTTTCTCCTCCTCCTCCTCCTCCTCCTCCTCTCTCCTTCTGTATGTCTATATTTCTCTACTTTTTTTTTTTTTTTTTTTTTTTTTTTTTCTCTCTCTCTCTCTCTCTCTAACTATCTGTATATTTCTGTCTCTGTCTCTCTCTGTCTTCCTTCCTCCCCCTGGCACCCTGGACCTCGATCCTCGATCTTCGATTTTCGAACCTCGGACCTCGATCCTCGGACCTCGCCGCCGTCGATCCTCGGACCTCGATCCTCGACTCTGGGATCTCGATCCTCGATCCTCGGACTTCGATTCTCGATCCTCGATCCTCGGCTTTCGGTCCTCTTAACATCATCTCTTTCTCCTTCCACATGCTGGCCTCCGGTAGGCAACATTTATAATCCCCCCGCGACCCCGAACTTTATTATCCCTGTGGGATCATTTTCCGTGGGACAGGGTTACATGTTTTCATATATGCCTTCTCGTTCCCTTTCTCTTTTCGGCCGGGCGCCAACGTTCGCAGCCGTCCCCTTCCTCCGCATGAACCGTCAGCACCGAGTCGGCAGATCGGACCGAATTGGCACCTGCATCGGATCGGGCCGCGTTGGCACGACACCGACATCGAACCGGATCGGCTGCGACAGGGTGCACAACAACGCCACGCAAACGTCGGGCCGCATCGGATCGTCAAACTCTCGGAATCGACTCGGACCGGGCCGGCCAGAATCGGCACCACATCGGATCGAGGGGAGCGAAATGAGCCCCGGCTTCCTCCGTGGGTGTCCACCATGAAGTCGGCGCTGAGGATCTCGAACTGCCTCTTGCCCATCCTGCCTGGGCCGCGCGGGAGGCCGAGCGGCTCCGGTGAGACGGGCGCGGGCCCGCGCAGGCATGGGGCGAGGGAGCGAGATACAGGCCTCGGAACAAATTAGTGAACACTCATGCCACATTCATCCGTCAACGCTTCCCCCTCCCCCCCATGTTCAAAGTTGGCGGTGGGTCTGACGAGATGCACTTCGACCGCAGACTCCCCCGCGCGTGCCAACGTTGAGTTTGGGGGGGAAGGGGAGTGTTCAGTGATTGTTTCCCTCTACCGTAGTGCGCTGACCTCCCGGCTTCGCTCGCTTTCCTCCTCCCTCCTCTCGGCGGCGAGCCCGGGGGCGGGTGGGACGTGAGAGGGGGCAGGCCTTCTCGAAGGCGGCGGGGCTTCTCGCTTCCCCCCGGGCTCGCTGCCGATCCCTCGCTCCAGCACGACGCGCGATATATGCAGGCGCAGGGTGCTCAAGGTACACTGCGGACGCGGCCGCACGGAACCCTCACAAGGAGCCCAACCCTGAACTCCGCGCGCGAGGCGCGTTTGTAGGGGCAGGAGGGGGAGGAGGAGGAGGAGGAGGAGAAGGAGGAGGAGGAGGAGGAGGAGGAGGAGGAGGAGGAGGAGAAGGAGACGGAGAAGGAGGAGGAGGAGGAGGAGGAGGAGGCGGGATCGTTGCAGGCTCCACGCTGGCCACGTACGAGGCAAACATTTTCCTTCAGCCGTCCGTGGACAGTTTCGCAAAGTGCATGCCCGACACAGCAACACTCTCCCTCCACGTCGATGACCTCACGCTGATGCACTGGGGAAACCAGATGCTTGAAATTGTGAATGGGCCTAAGAAGAATACTGTGACAGTCCACAATTCCCTCACCCAGGGCCTCCAGCTCTACACGAAGCTTGGTTTGGCGGCCTCGTGTGGGCCCCTCTTCTAGATTGCGTACCAAGCCCTCGGAGACCTCGGAGGACCTCGACCCCCTAACGGAGCTGTAACTAACCTTGGAAATGGCTACCTCGGAGGCACGCGCAAACTTAGACCTGGGGCGATCCGAAAGAGACACGAAATAATAAGGCAATATAGAAACAAAGAAACTCGGATTAACGGTATAAAGTTGCGAGCAGGACGTCGCAACAGGCTGTTCCAGACCAACCTCAAACCTACCCTCACCTATGGCGCGGAGGTCCATGCCTTCAGCCCCCACCAAATCAGGCAGGCGCTCTTGCAGGCAGGAAGAGATGGAGGAGTTTCGTTCAGAGGAGCTCAGCTAGATTCAGCTTGGAGTATTTGCAGCCTGTCCGACCCCATCGATATTGCTTTTAAGACAGTTGGGAGGATGCCAGCATAATGGCAGATGTCGACCCCAGTGTGCTCAGCTGAAACGCCTCATCGTGACGCCTTGTTCCCTGCCGCCATTGCTAGAGCCCACCACTTGGCCCTGGATAGAGGTTCCAGTTCCAAGGGCAAGATTTGTTTCAGTACCTGCGGACCTTTTTCGGACGCCTCCCTCTGGATTGAGGAGGCCCGTTGGGCCACCCAGGGCCCTGGGATCCTGGTGGACCGTTTCGGCGCCACACTAAATTTAACGAACAGTTCGCCCACACTTGTTGCAAAGAAGTTTGCCGACCAATTAAAGGATACGCATGTTCAAGACCATGTCAAGCCGATCTGCACTGCGTCCCCACACAGCACGGTTGATCTTGAGGTCTTTGGCTTGTGGTGGGAGCTAACGCGCCAGCTGCTCGCGTCTCGCAAGGTTAACCGACTCCAAGCCGAGAAGGTGAAGTTTCATCAGTTCTTTTGCGGGACCCTCCCCACAGGCTCGGTGATGAAGAATTGGGGATACAATGACTCAACCCAGTGCGACATATGCTAAATGGAAGGCGCCCCCTGGCACAGAGTTTGGACGTGTAGCTGCCTTCGAGCCTCTGCTGTCAGGGAAGAAGTCTGTCCCCCTGAACTGGTCAGAGCTGCTATCGTGCAACAGTGGGTGGCTTTTCCGCCTCGGCACGGGCAGCGAGCCTCCTGCTAGCGATTGCCGGGTAACCTTCTCTGGTGAAGATGGGCAATCCATTTCCCCGTTAGCTCCCGCTCCCTCCCCTCCTTTTTTATTGGCTCAAGCACCAAGGTTCCACCCTTGAGCCCAAGACGGCAGCAGGCAAGCGGCGCGCGCGCGGCTAAGATGCGAGGAGGGGGACGCGGGGAGTCTAACTTTGCTTCACCTTTGTGAATCCGAGTTTGAGTTCCCCTCCGGCGCCAACCGTTTCACCGAGGGGTCGTGCCTTTACCCCCAATGCACCTCTCCCGAGCGGGTGTTGGCGTGGCCCAGGTCGGGGGGGGGGCCTGGAGACCTCATCCGCGGGCTGCGCAGCCCGCTCCCGGGTACCATGACGCAGAGCAGTGGGACTGCAGGACACGGTGCGGTCCTTTTTGTCTTGCGTGTACAGTCAGGACAACTGCGCTACATAGGGGGGAAACAAACCTACCTCGCTTTTGACCGCCCTCGCTTCCAAGAGATACCAAACGATGCCAAATTGCAGCCTGTACTGGTCAGGCCGCTTGACGAGGAGGCGCGTGGTATGGCTTGGTTTTGCCTGGAAGCGAAAGCGGGGTAGGTAATTCACGCTCTGACTACAGGCCGCCTACATGTCGATTGCGCCACGCCTCTGAAAGCTTCGGCCTTTCTCCCTTGGGCTCTGCCGGGGGGCAACGTCACGGTCCACGTTTGGAGGGGGATCGCCAGGCACTGCCCTGACGGCCTCCCCCCTCTCACAAAAGCCAAGGGACATCATAATGAAGACGAGTTGCCTACTGAAGAGCTCACTATTCTCTGCAGGGGAAGCCGTCTGGCCGACCATCATGCAGGACTAGCTGCCTGACCCCATGATTACAATCGCCCTACTGCTGATCTTGTCACTAAGACAACACAACTTAACATGCCCCTAATTCACGGTGTTAGGAAGGTGCTTGGGGAGTGGCCGAGTTTTGACGAGTTGGGTGAGTTGGGTCGTTCTCAGGTTGGCCCGAAGCGCCGACTCCGCAACCACGTCAATCCGCACGTTCCAATATGGCATGATGGCATGCGTACGTGTAATGTGTGTTTCCGTTACCTGGGGCCCAAAGTGGTGTTCAGCGCTGAGCGTTCTGGCCTGAACCCGTCGCTCGAGAGTTTTTGTCTGGCCCCGGGAGCCACCATCAACTCCATGTTGCTTTGGTTCTTACGCTGCCTGCGGTGCCTTCACCACCTGAGGAGTACGTAGGAGGAGGAGGAGGAGGAGGAGGAGGAGGGGGGGGAGGAGGAGGTGGTGGTGGTGGTGGTGGAGCTCCCTAGCGACCAAGGCCGAATGGTCGGAGGAGAAGACTGGGGTTACCGCCTCACTCACGCCTCGGCACCCCACAACTGGGGGGCGCCAGCGACAGTGCCCGTCGGCAGCTGTCGGCGCACGGCCGCAAGACACGCTGCTGCAGCACTTCAAAACAACATATCATGCAAAACCTCTAACTGCTCCCTCGCACATGCACGACACACGCCAACAAAACTCCGCACTTCCACCAGCGCCTCACATGCCCCATGAGCAAATGCAGCACAAGCTTCAGACAGGAATACCACATATGTCGACAAACAGCACGCCGCAAGCGAGCGAGTAATACAGACAGACCAGACACCACACGTGTCGCCTATCACGCCGTCGAGCAAGAGACCGAGGTACAACTGAAGACTAAACTTGTGCTCCTGACCTGCACCTGAGTCAAGAACCTTATGCCGATGACCACCCGCCACTCGACCACGACAGCACCCGCACACACCCACAAACTTCAGGCACATCGCATAATGTCGCCCGTATCAGTCACGAGCACTTCACCGACCAGAAGTCACTACTGTGGGGTCAGCGTCTTCTGCCCCTCCATTCCAAGATGCCCCGCAGGACGCGGGCCCATAGCAACAATGACCTGCTCGAGCTGCTTGTCGGCAGTCGTTACAATCAAACGGCGCTGCTTTGAGTCAAACTGAAACGCATCTGTAGCACCAATCTTGTGGCCCCTCTGGCTCTTCACCTGGTAGCGAGCGCTTTTTATACTCATATACACTGCGTCCTCCTCTTTCAAGGAGAACTGATACGTCACAGCACCTTCCAGGAGCCTTGTGCTTGAGCGCTGACTACCCCCAGCTACAGCTCCACTTCGGCCTTGGCCTCCGTCGACGAAACCAGACTTCTCTCCCACTTTGCCAAGAAGGCACCCTATTGCAGCTGCATCCTCAGAGAAGAAACTCTTCTGTTTCTAATGGAAGGTGTGCTCGAAGATGCCAGCGAGCCGACACATAGCTACTGAAACTCAGATCACATATCTCACAGGAAGACGGAGGACTGGAGATATGACTGTGTCGAACCGCAGGACCCTTGGACCGAGGGCACTTACCAAGCTCAAGGCTCTTTTCCAGGTGAGAGCTGGCATACCTTTTGGTGGTATATATGTTGCCACACAGAATACACGCATTGCTGATGGTAACGATTCGAGCAAGAACTCCATGCCCATGATTGGGTTGCCAAGAATTAGCTTGATGTAACAGTAGTTGCCTTTTAGTCGGGAACGAGGCCCCATATACTCCCTCCGACCCCCCAAGACTGATATCGCATTTGAAGTCGCCCACAGACGGAGGAGGAGGGGGGGGGGAGAAGGGGGCGGGGGAGACGCCCCAGAAGGGGGGAGGCACCCCAGAAGGAGGAGCAGAAGACGAGGACGAGCCCCCAGGAGCCCCCGAGGTCCCAGACGGGGCGCCGATCTCAGCCTCGACAGGCGGAGCTATCTGTTTTCCTGTGTACTCGCTGTGCAATTTCTGCGGGTCAGCCGAAAGAAACTCCGTGCGCACATCCACTGAACAAAACAATGCCGCAGGATAACGCTCGACCTCAGCCGCGACATCGGCAAACTCGGCTACCCGAGCAAATTCCTTAACGTCTGAGAGAAACTGTGTCCACCGTTCGCTAGGCCTCCCATTGAGATACCCCTCCCAATCCCGAACTT